GTGTGTGTGTGTGTGTGTGTATGTGTATTAGGAACTACCTTTTATTTTCCCAGAGCTTCAAGGTCCAAATGATGCTAGCGAGGTCCTTGGTTTTTTTTCTGGGATCTCTGATGTTCCTTTCCTTAAATATCTCTATGAGGAATGGTAATGACTTCTTATCTTTGTACTTGCCCCAGTGAATCGTGAGGACTCACTGGCCGGATTCTGTTGGTGGTGAGGGTTGTAAGTGTGCTCGTAGCGCTGGTGCCTCGGACAGGGGCCTGGCAGGTAACAGACGCCCAATAAATGCTTGTAGCATCAAGCGGGCGGCAAACCACAGCCTGCAGGCCAAATCTAGCTCACTGGTTGATTTGTAAATAAAGTTTTATTGGCACACGGCCATAAACCCTTCATGTACACATGATCTCCGGCTGCTATGCACTACAATGACAAAGGGCGGTAGTTGCAACAGAGACTGTGTGGACTGCAAAGCTGAAAATATTTCCCACCCGACCCTGTACAGGAAATGTTTGTTAAGCCCTATTAGTTAAGTTACTGAGGGGACAGGAAGGAAGAAGGTGGCCAGAGCAGCTTGTCCGGAAGGCTCCTGAGCCTTGGAGGGGATTTCGGTAGCAGTTTCCGCAGGCTCAGGCTGGCAGCAGACTGCTGTACTTGTCCTGGGGGCGGCCAGCCTTCCTTGCTGACTGGAGGCTTTTAATCTTTTAAGCTGAGTTTATGACCTTCCGTCCCATCTGTCCAAGTCATCTGGGGTTCGCTAACAGAGCAAGTTGGCAAATAACACGATGTGATCTAACATGGAGAGGAAGCCTGGCGCGAACACGGTCAGGTCGCTTGGCACCTGGCCACTGTGGGGCAGAGGCAGGGATAGGGACAGGTGGATAGGGACTACATTTTATGGGGAGTCTGAAAGATGATGGCGGTGCAATGCCTGGTGGCTCTAGGCATCCCTCCTCAGCGGATTGGGGACCCGCACTGGGGCTCAGTCTTGTGGCTAGGTGCCGTAGGACAGGTGTTGGCCAGATCTCACTCCCTGCCTGCCTTTGTGATATAAATCAGGGTCCAGCAAACCCCAGTCTGCCAAGCCAAATCTAGCCCACCACTTGTTTTGTAAATCGAGTTTTATTGGCCTGTGGCCACAGCACGTCATTTACGGTAGCGACCAGTAACATGCTGATGTGAGGGAAGAGTGCGGTTAGAAAGCAGAGATTTCATCCCAGACCCAGGCTCTACGATGCTGGCTTCCCCGAGACCGAGGCCTTGACGCCGTGGCAGAAGCGCCATGTGCCAGCAGAAACGCCCCTGTTGCGGAGAAGAAATGAACAGCTGTCGCCTCCACTTCAGGTTGTTCCTTCAAGCACACTAGCCTCCAGGGTCAGTCTACTTCTCAGTCAGCATGTCCTTGGTGTCCACCCTGCTCCCATGGACAGCTGCGTTCTAGCGCCTCCACCCACATCTCCTGGGGAGACCCCAGATCGAGGTCCTCTTGTTTGCCCACCGGCATCGTGCTTCTCCTGGCCCTCCTCATCTCTCTTCCTGTCCTCTCCTAACCCCACCCTCAGAAGTGATGTCACCTCCTTTGGGCCCTGAGGGACACTCCCCGAGGCTCTGCAGATCCGCTCTCTTTGCAGATTAGATCCGGGCTGTTTTCTTCTACCAGTCGTGTGCTCAGTGTGCTCGATGGTCAGTGCAGTGCCAATATTTAAAGATGTACATTGTGGGACCAACAGTGGGGTAATGGTTACGCCCCTGGATTCCCACGTCGTCGACTGTGAGTTGAGTCATGGACCAGGTGGCTTAAAACTTACGGTGGGCATATGTGTGCACTTGCCCAAGATCCTGAGAGGAGAATTGAGGAGAGGGTGTGGCCATCCTCCCGGGGGCGATTTCTCACTTTCTGTCTCTCTCTGTCTCTCTAGCGAGCACACACACCCTATAGCAAAAATCTCTCTAATATGTGTGTGTGTGTGTGGGTGTGTGTGTGTGTGTTTGTGTAATTGTTCTCCTGGGGGACTTTTTGTTGCAAGCATTATTGCCCAGAGTTAAGTTGCTTGACTATAGATTTGCTTACATTCCAGATAGTATGAACTCTTTGTGAAAAAAGTTTATTTCTTCTATAAGAAAGAGAAATAGCACCTCCAGCCGGATCCTGACATTGCAATCCACTGCCAGCCTCAGCCATCCTGGATCACAGGCATGCACAAGCCCGTAGTACTCAGAGAAGTCTCCAGACGTGAACCTGGAACCTTCCCATGTGGACTGACCTCACAGAGCATTGTGTTTCATTGCTGTGGCAACAGCCAGCCCCTCCTTTTTAACAGAATGTCCAAGTCTCTGAGATTCTTTCGTCTTCTGGCTGGGTTTTTCTGCCGAGGGCTTCACTGTGTGGGTCAACAGCCTGTCTTACTTTTCCCATCAGAGCTTTTCCTTACCACATATAATAAGAGGCTGTCGCTGTCTTGTTTTTTTTTTTTTTCAGAAACGCGAATGAAGCCTTTGTTTCTAATTTCACCCCGTTGGTTGCTACTGACTAATGCACTGTGAGTCTTCCCTCGGTCCTCATCAACGGGTATACTTTTCGACTTGGCATAGCTTAGACTCAGACTTTTAAAGTTTTAAAGCAGTCATGTTGCACAGATGGCCAGTAAATCAGTCAGTGTGGCCACTTTATTGCTTGTAAGGTGATTACCCTTCTTTGCCCGTAGTGACTTTTCAATTTGATTAAAATGCAGCTTCCTCAGGTCTTGGTTGACTCCTCCAGATACTCACGGCAATGGGAAAAGTCCATGCAGATATTTTTATAATCAACCTTCAAGTTTTAACCATCTCTCCCAGCCCCTTTGTGGTCCTCGTCCTATAATTCAAATTTCCATGCTCTTTTGCCAAAGTAATTTTTACTTCGTGCGTATTCCGAGCTCTCGTCGCTGTGAAGCAGTATGGTTTTTTCTGCCTCTGGCGGGGAGCATTGGTCCTGCTGGGAAGTTTTTCTTGCATCTCCAGTGAGTTCCCGTGTCATCTGTGAATGAGGCTTTGATGGTCGTATCAATAGAACGCGGACGATGTGTGTCGGTTTATTTGTGATCATTTGCCAAGCAGGAGGAGCCAGAATAGAGTGGACTTGCTATCTTAGAAAAGGAAGAAGCATTCAGTTTTGCTGCTGCCATGGCAGCAGGAGCCTTTCTGACTGTTTTTGAGAATACTAAAACCCAGTGCTTGTAAGAATACTAAAACCGAGTTCCTTGCTAGGAGCCTTATGGGGCAGGTCGTCTCCGCTTGTCAGTCTCCACGAGGGCCCTGCCCCCTTACTCCCCTCCGCAGGGCACCCACCCCTCTGTGCTTTGCTCTCTGTCCTTGCTGTGTGTTTTGAATATCTGTGATGACAACACATGGGCTGCCTACCGAGTGGTTTCCTTCAGCTCCATGGAGCCAATTACTGGTTTGGTTACAATGACTTGATTTTGAGTGCTATGCCTTGCCCTGCTGTAGTTTGGATAATGGTTTGTCCCCTAGAGGTTCACGTTTTGGAATTTGGTCTCCAGTGTAGTGGCCTTGGGAGCTGGTGAGACCTTTAAGAGCTGAGGCCTAGTGGGCAGGGACTGGATCATGGGGACAGCACTCCCATAAGGGATCAATGCTGGCTCGTGAGAGGGAGTGAGTTCTAGCTCTCGTGAGCATGGGTTAGTTCCTGTGAGCGTGGGTGTTATCAGCGGCAGGTGCAGGGGCTGGCTGGTGGCCTAGCAGTAAGCGTGATGCTCTGCAAGGCTGCCCATGTGGGAGGGTTCTGCGTCGTGTCTGGGGACCTCCGTCAGTACACTGGGCATGTGTGGATTGTGGCGTTAAGACCCTGTTGGGATGCTGTCTCTGTCACTTGTGGCCGAAATAAATAAACTTAAAGGGAAGATGGCTGCTTGCAGATCTCTCTGCACGTGCCCACCACCCTCTCTGCTTCTGTCGATCATATTGTGATGTAGCAGGCCTGATGTCAGCCCCATGGCTTGGGACTTTCTAGCCGCCAGCATTGTGAACCTACTACCCACCTAGGTTGGATGTTGTGGGCTGCTGCCGCCCAGGCTGGGTGGCATAGACTGTCACTCCTTATGTGACCACTGCTGTATTGAGTCATTGGAAGAGTCATGACGCATTTTGGCATAGAAAAACATGATGTCATGACTTTTACAGCAACCCAGTATATGTGCTCTGTCGTCGATGGAAGTGTGACGTAGCATGTGACGACACGTCATTACAGCAGACATGGCTATGCTCAGATATTTTTCTTATACAAGGAAATAGTACATGTGGGTCATTCTCCTACCGTGTCCCCTGGGGATACCTTGCTCACTTTTTTTTTTTTCATTTTATTTCTATTATTTTTTTTAAATTTAAGTTTATTTATTTACATTCATTCACTGTACATCATGACAGCATAAAAAATGAGATTTTCCACCCAGAATACACTGTATATTGGCTCAATCACGCACATCAACATATGTGTTATCAACAAATAATTTTCCATTTCCTGTTTCCTGTGTATTTTGCTTTTTTCCCCATCCTTGATTCCCTATCTCTCACCCTCTGTCATCTCCCACGCACCCCCACAGTCTCTAATATCTATGGTTGCTTTCTATGCCTCCCCCCCCACATTTTATTGATTCACTAAAGATCTTAATTAATTAAATATTTTCAATAGCAAGCACAGCTGATATATACATATCCATAACACAAGTCTGACTTTAGGCTAGGGCATATGTGCTCGCCAGAAGGACAGAGAGAGACAGAAAGCGAGAAATCACCCCCTGGGGGGATGGCCACGCTGCAATCCCTTCTCCTCCATTCTCCTCTCGGGATCTTGGGCACGCATGCACACGTGCCTGGTATGAGTTTAAGCCACTGGGTCTGGGACTCGAACCACGGTTGACTACATGGGAGTCCAGTGGCATAGCCATTACGCCAACTGCTGGTCCCATACCTTGCTCATATTTTTAACAGTCAGTCTTCTCTCCCAGGTGTAACTAGCATGGTCAATGCAGGAGCGATGAGCGGCTCTGGGAACCTGATGGATTTCCTCGATGAACCCTTCCCTGACGTGGGGACATACGAGGACTTCCACACCATCGACTGGCTGAGGGAGAAGTCGCGGGACACTGACAGACACAGAAAGGTGAGCGCATGCTGGAGGGGATCCCACAAAGGACGTGCCATGTTTTCGTTCAGAAGCTGTTAGGCTGGGCCTTGGAGGCACATATCATGGGCTGCGTTAGGTTCCCGAGAACGGGGAGGCTGCAGGGAGAGGCAGGGATAGGGCCAGCGCATCCTAACACCAGGCACTTGGGGGCAGGCTGTGCGGTCAAGGGAATGTGGGACCAGATAGACCTGTCACATGCCCTGCCCTGATGCGTTCAGGCTGAGCCCTGTTTTGCCATCCAGGAGGGTGGTACTCAACCCTGCAGGTCAAACGAGACTGCACATGTGTTACAGCACCTGGCATCGTGGTGGCCGTCAGTGAGATCGTCAGTGGGCCCCGTAAAGTTGTGTACCCAGTGCTACGGGGTTGTTCCGAAGGGATGCGTAGGGAACGGTTTTTCAGAGAGGGGGCATTTCAGTCGAGTCTTCAAGGGTGACTGAGAGTTCGGTAGGCAGAGAACGAGATCGGATTGCAACTATCAGGAGTGTGGTTTTTTTTTTCTTTTTTTCCATGGGTGGTCTTTTAGTCACGGAGGCATGAGGGGACATTAGGGCAGCTTGGGGCACTCCCAGGGTCTGGTGGAGCATGTGTGGAAGGCAAGGAATAGAGTCTGGAAATGTGGGCAAGAGGGTCAAGTTGGGGACAAGGGAGCCAAGATGCAAGTGCATGTGGGGCCGAAGGCCATGCTACACAATGAAGAGGCACCATGAAGGGAAGAACGGAGGGCCCAGGAGCTGATTCAGGAGAAAGAGGAAGAGGGCCTGACTGAGGCAGTGAACTGCGGGTGGACGAGGGGTTCAGGCCAAGAGCTGTTCAGAGGAGCCGTTGACGGGACATGGGGCGGGATTGGGGTCTGCAGGGGAGTGGGGTCAGGGACTAGCAGGTTGTGGCCAGATGGAGTGATGCCCTTGATGAGAGGCTGGGAGCGTGGCAGATGCCCTAGGGAGGCTAGTGAGCTCTAGACTGTTTGAGACGCTCTGAGTGAGCTGCATGCCTGACCTGCTGCGGGGAGAACCATGCAGTACAATGGTGAGGTCAGGGCCATGGTGAGGGTGAAGGGTCCCGGGCGTGCAAGTGGGTGCTGAAGCTTTAGAGGTGGCCATGGTGGCCTGGGTGTATAGATGGTGATCTAAGGAGGCAGTCAGACCCTGAGCGATGCCAAGATCAGTAGGTTCACCGGGGAGGTAGGCACCTCCAAGAAGCAGACAGAGGCGAAGGAGGGGAGCCTGCAGAGTGCAAGGCGAAGAGAGTGTGCAGGGGTGCTGCCCGCAGGCCACCCTTCAGGAGGGCTGCTCTTCAGGAGGACACTGACCATGTCATGTTGCTTCATGATGGTTGGCAGGGAAAGGAGGGGAAAGGTGGAGGAGGGGTCCAGTCAAAAAGGCCATTTAGTCTCTGTGTTCCTACTGGAGGAGTGTGGGGCTAGGGTGGCCTTCACTCTGGAGCAGTGAGTGGCGGCAAACGATGGCCCTGGGACCAAAGCCAGCTGGCACCTCGGTTTGCCAATGAAGTTTTATTGCAGCTCAGCCATGCCTGTTCATTTACATGTTCCCAGCGGCTCCTTTTGGGCCACAGTGGCCACGTTGGGGAGCTGCACAGACTATTTGACCCGCACATGTTTACTTCCTGGCCCTTTTCAGAAATCACTTGTCAGCCACATTTTACTGGGCTGGAAGGGGCGCGATGAGCCCAGGGACAGTGGATTCTGCAACCTCAGTGGGCAGAGGGTATTCTGCAGTGTGTATACACAGTTTATACACAGTGTGTATAAACGGGCTGTCTGCCACAGTACACCTGACCTATGCTGGCTAATCCACAATGCTTGCTGTTAAAATTTAACCTCGCAAACAAAAGTAGAAAATAAGGTTTTTGTTGGACAACGAGGCTTTTTCTACCCCTTCTTCTTTCTTTCTTTTTTTAAATATCAAAGCAGCACTTTATTTATTTTAAAATTATTTTATTCAACTTTATTTATTTAAATTTGACCAGAGAGGGACAGAGCGAGAGCAAGAGAGAGAGAGAAAAAACAAGCTGCCAACTTTGGGACTTGAACCGTGGTCAGCCATGTGGGAGTCCAGTGCCCTTAACCACCACACCATGCCACCTGTTGGCCCCCCCTTTATTTTTTTTAATTGCCCGAGGGCACTTGCACTTGCCAGAGACAGACAGAGAGAAGAATGAGGGACCAGCAGTTAGCGTAATGGCTATGTCGCTGAACTCCCATATAGTTAACCACGGTTTGAGTCCCAGACCCGGTGGCTTAAAATCACTCTGGGCGCGTGTGCGTGCCTAAGATCCCAAGAGGAGAATGGAAGACAAGGGATTGCGGCATGCCCATCCCCCTGGGGGGTGATTTCTCACTTTTTATCTCTCTGTCTCTCCGGCGAGCACACGCACCCTGTAGCAAAAACCTCTCAAAAAAAAAAAGATATATAAAAAAAAAGAAAGAAAGAGAGAAGAATGAGAAAGTTCCTCCCCAATGGGGTGTGGTCATGCTACGGTCCCTTCTGCATTTCTGCATCCTATTGAACCTTCTTCAAGCTGCTGGGGCTGGGGTTTGAACCGTGTGGTTAGCCATGTGGGTCGGCTCCCTTGTCCACTAGGCCGTGGGACCAGCCCATGAAGAAGCTTTTTACTGAACAGATGTTACAGTGTAAGTTAATGTATTGCAAATGGTAACACCAAATGGATGTCTCCCTTCAGAAAGGCTTTCAAATAATCAAAGGTCAAATCACATTTGGCCTGTTTCTTTCAGGAAGCAGGTTTCCCTGCGCTCTCTTCTGGGGAGACCGTCGTGGCGTCTTCTAGCCCGATGTGCTGTTACTGAGGAAGAATGTCACTGGGAATTTGGTTGCTTAATTACATTCATTTTCCCAGTCACCCTGTTTCCCGCGGAAGCAGCCTTGAGGGAGAAGCCGGAACTGGCAAGCGCACTCACGCCGACCCCCTCGTCTGCTCTGTCCTAGATCACCAGCAAGAGCAAGGAGTCCATCTGGGAGTTCATCAAGAGCCTGCTGGACGCTTGGTCGGGATGGGTGGTGATGCTGCTCATCGGCCTGCTGGCGGGTACGTGCGGGGGCTGGCGGGGCCGGGCGAGGGATTCAGTCCATGGCATAGTAAGGGCAGGAAGCATGATCGTCAGCTTAACAAAATCCATCATCAATCAAGCAGGCCAGGGCGGGGAGCGGGCACGGCTTCTGGAGGGCCATACTCACAGGGCTGGCCAGCCCTTGGCATCCGGTGTGAGGGTTTCTTAGCACTCCCTTTCGTCCCGGTGCCCTCCGGTAGGAGGTGGTGACGCACGGAAACACTCGGCTCCCTGACAAAGTACCACGTGAGGTCGGCTTTCCGTCCCACCAGCAGGCCCTGGCCTGGATTGTAAGCATCGTACAACCCACAGGGTAACTCTAGACACCAAGCTGGGTCTGGGCTGCCTCCCAGGGGCGACGCCTTCAGCCCTGCCCTCGCTCTTGCCCTTAAGGATTCTGTGTCTCTCTGTTTCATAGCCCTGGCTCGGTGTTTGTGAGGAGTAGATGTTTCCAGAGTAAATGGATGAATATCTGGGGGAGAAACCTGCTCTTTATGGGACTCGTTTCCTGAAACATACCTCCTTTTAGGAAGTGGTGAAGGCTAATGTCTAAGAAGACAAAATGTGAGCATGCTAGAGACTCCCTTAATACAGTGTAATACTGTAAGAGTCACGGTCAGAGAGCCGAGTAGAGAATTGATCCCCTAAGAATGACACGACACTAATGGGGCACAGATCGAACGTTGTGGTCGCAGGGGGTTTCCATTTCTGAGCAATCTTTCATTTATTCCCAAGACAATCACAGGACCTTGGTTGCCAGGAAGGGCTCCCCCTGCCTGTCTGCTTCGGCAT